TTAATCATTTGTTCACATAATTGATTCCCTGCTGTTTTCAGTCAGCTGTATTCTCACTTCTCTTTTATTACATAAAATATCTATTTCATTTTGAAGATTTGGAAGTTTTTCACAAGAAGATGAAAAATTTCTGTTCTGGTCTCTGTGTTAAAACACAGATTATTCACAAATGCATAAATTCAGTAGTTGCAAACATGACAAAATGAAAGGACTGACATGATGTGAAGCCTCTCAGCACAGCTGTTGCATAAACAATACATGTGTGAACATGTAAAATAGAAGCATTGCTAATGACAACACAAACACAGACTGCATGTGACATGCATCAAAACATACTCATTTTCAATGTAAGCCCACACACTGGTGGAGAACTGCCATCAGGACATGCCGCTGTCCTATTTGCCTGGCTTCAATGTACAACAAAAGCATAAAATTCTGAAGTACACACTCATTCCCATAGTCCCACACTGAATTTGTGCCATTCCCAGTATGTGTTACAGGTGTCATGAGATGTGTGTCACATTTCATCATGTGATCTCTTCAGTGTGTGCTGCCCTTTAACAAAATTAATTACAGTAAACAATTCAATAAAAACTACAATTCCTAATTTTAAATGATAATTCAAGAGTGAGCTCAGACAGAAATACAAAACTACTACTATGTGTTTACTTGAGAGAGGTATCGTACACAGTTACGTTATGAAGATGTGTTTTAAAATACTAAAAGATTCACCCCTTTTTTGCCATAAAGGTGAAAATGAGGACATCTACTACGCAGTGACCGACTATTGTCATGGAGGAAACCTCGCTGACAAGATCAAAGAGACACCACAAGAGTTTCAGGTACATTGTTCTTGTGCAGAGGTAGTTTCTAGTTTACATTAGTTAAACATTCTGCAGCAGCTGTACATGTATTTCACAGCTATACAACGGTCACTATAAAAAATCTGGATTCTGACTGGAAGGTGTGGATCAACTTGAAGTAACCAGACAGTTCAAGTGTACGTAAATGATGTAGATGTTGAATATACAGTGTTAGTTTTTAAACTGTAGCCTGAGCTAAACATCCTTGAGCTAAGGTTATTTGTTTACCCACCAACAACAACAGAATAAAGGACAAACAGCTTCACTGTGAGGGCCATGCAAAATTTATTTTTAATATGTATCATATTTAAGTGAAACTTATGTGCATAACAACTAATGCTAGGAAGAAGAAACTGGATTTAAATATAGCAAAGCTAAAACTGTTACCCACAGTGATGCTGGTAGACTGAGTTGAGAGAACTGTAGAGGAAATGAGAAACGAGGAAGTACAATAAAAACACAAAAAATAAAGAGATGTGGTTAAAGAAGGAGGGAGGGCCGGAGAGAGACAGCAAGGATGCAACATGTCTGCTTATTTGTACAGAGGGGGGAGAAGGAGGCAGCCTGTGTCAGAGCCTGAAGGAGTTCTCTCTGCTGGACAGACAGTTTTAATAACACTGTGTAACAGAATTCATACCTATTCTCTGTGAGAGCATTCAGCGAAACATTTCTTTACTATTCTATTACATTTTTTAATTCCTTGCTGAGCACTGCAAACATGTTGCTGTTTAGCTACTGCTTAAAATAGGAATTAAAGATCAAATATAATTACATAATTATTACACCTCAAGTCGGATGGTCTTTGGCCTTGTGTCATCCATTATAATCACAGAACATACAGCTTGTCAGGTATTGTCCCTTTCTAATTTGGCACTCCTGCTATTTTAGAAGTACATTCATTTGTTTTCTAGGTGCTGAGCTGGTTAACTGAGATCTGTGTGGCTTTGAGAACCATTCATGAAAAGGGGTTGGTTCAAAAAGATCTGATGCCAGAGGTACTACACTAAAACACTGCGCAGTTCTTTCAAACTTACCCATTAACTAGTTTAATATATCTTAACAGTAAAATGAATTTTACTTGTTTCAATTCTTAAAGTGACTCAATTTACAGTTTTACCTTTTTTCATTTTGTAGGACATATTCCTCACAGAATTTGGAACTTTGCGCCTGGGTGGATTTCAAAAAGCCCATAAAAAGTACAGTCTTTTTGCTGTTTTAATATTTTATAAGCTAATAAACTAAAGTATACGTTTGTATGTTTGTAGCGCAATAGCTTGGACATCCTTGGGAAAATGACTTTCTTTTTGAAGTGAAAAGATGTAAATACAACCCTGGCAGCAAACAGACATATAAAAATTGCCCTAATCCTAAAAAGTAACGTTACACTTTACAGAGTGTGAAGCCCCCCCAAGGTAAATTTCCGAGTCCAGGTGTGTGTGTGGCTCCTCTCTGTGCTGTGGCTGGGGGGCTCCAAAGG